CCTCCCTCAAATGCTCCGGCCTGCTCCAACTGGCAAGCTTGACTTTTAAACATTTTATTTTATTTTATTTTTGTGATGTCAGTGCCCCCCCTGACTTATTTAAAGGCCCCCCAAATTACAAAATCCTGGCTACAGGCCTGGTTTAAATCCCCACTCTGCTGTGGAAGCTCACTGGGTGACCTTGAACCAGGCATACATTGGCCCCTGCCACACAGAAAGAAACACGCGGTGGCGGGATCACATAGATCCCCTGAGCCGTCGCGCAGTTCCTCCCCGGCACGATCAGATGCCCGGGGGGGGGGAGCCGCTGAAGAGGGAGCGAGGCAGCCCAACTGCGCATGTGTGCGCGTGCACAGTTCGGCCAGGAGCCTGGATTGCTCTGGACGACGGGCGCGCTGGCGATCCCACAGCCGCGTTTGCTGCGGTGCTAGAGGTAAGTCCTCCTCTGTAGGAGGTTCTTTTTTGTACCGTGCAACAAGCTGGTTCCAAAGTCAATTAAACCACTTTCCGAAGTCAATTAAACCACTTCGGATCCCCATTGGAGAGAAATGTGGGGGTATAAATGAAGAAAATAAATCATGAAGAAAATAAATTATAATAAACAAAAACTGTGACCACCGGCAGGACTCTCATGCCTCCCTTTCCGGCAGCAGTCTCTCATGCCTGTTGTGTACTGTAGTGGCTAGAGTGTCAGACTAGGATCTGGGAGACCCAGGTTCGAATCTCCACTCTGCTGGGTGACTATGGGCCAGTCACTTTCTCTCTTAGCCTAACCTAGGTCACAGGGTTCTTGTCTTCATAATAGGGAAGAGGAGATAACTAAGCATGCTGTTCTAAGATCCTTGGAAGAAGGATGGGTTTAAAATGTCCTAAAGAAATGGGAAAATGCTCTTTGAAAAGCCGCTCCCAAGAATCAGGGATCCTCCAGAATGTATGCATGTGGGACAATGGGGGAGGGCAATAGTGGGGGAGGAGATCAGGTAAAGGGATACTATTGAATATTATATTTGTGTTATCTTAAAATAAGAATCTGAGAAATATGATGTTTAAAATGGACATATTTATTGACTTCATTTACACCCTGGGGGATCTGAAGCAATTTACATTGTTCTCCATTTTATTCTCACAACAATCCATTGAGGTGGGTTAGAATGCGAGTGTGTGACCGGCTCGAGGTCACCCAACAAGCTTCCATGGCAAAACAGGAATATGAGCTAGCTATGCCAACTAGCGTTACTGGTTTCAGGAGATTTGGGGGATGGAGGAGCCAGAGGAGGGGTGGGGTTTGGGGAGGGGGAAGGACTTCAGTGGGCTATAATGCCATAGGGTCCACCTTCCAAACTGGCCGTTTTCTCCAGGGGAACTGATCTCTGTTGTCTGGAGACCAGTTTTAACAGGAGATCTCCAGCCACCACCTGGAGGTTGGTAGCCCTAATGCCAGCCTTCAGGCAGGACCTAGGAATCCCCTGGAATTGCATCTCATCTCCAGACTACAGCGATCAATTTCCCTGGAGGAAATGGATGCTTTGGAAGGTGAACTCTACAGGATTGTACCCCACTGAGCTCCCTGTCCTCCCCAGGCTCCATCCCCAAATCTCCAGGAACTTCCACCCAGCTCCCCATCCCCCACTGGTGTTGGGGGGAGGCAACAATGACACCTGGCAACCCTAATTTGAACCCAGGTCTCCTAGATCCTACTCCAGCACACTAACCACTCTACCACACTGGCTCATCATCCTTTGCCTGCAGAAAATAAGGCTGAAATGATACATGCCATATACCTCTATGAATCTTCCTCATGAATTTTACTTATAAACTAAAACAAACTGTATAGCTTGCAGTTGGAAGGTGGGATCTTTTCTCCTTTCCCCTTAGGTTGTTTTCCCACCCAAAGTCACTCCCCCATTGCTTCCTCCTCCCAGTCCCTCAGGAAGAAGGTAGGGAACTCTAAATGCTCTCTAGCTTTGCATCCCAGATGGCTCATTTGAAAATATAACTGGCTGCTAGGGAGCTGTTGTTGACTCTTGAAGGTCTTGATAAATAGTTGTAAACTGTATTCACACGTGAATGAAAGCTCTTCAAACTTTTCAGCCTTTCTGAAATACGTTGTCGTTTAATGACCCACTCTGGATGGCTAATAACCACGATGAGCTGGAGACAGAGGCTTTTCCAAGTATAATCTTAGGGCTGAAAGGAGCCTGCTACTATTTTAGATGACTAAGCTTCAAGTGAATGGCGGTTAAACATTTCCACCTCTGACTACTCTACACCTTCCTGACTGCGGAATGTGCTTGGTCAGGATATCTTGAACTGTCAGTCCCAGCTGGCTGTGGTTTACATTAAAAATCAAGACGGTTCTATAAAACTAACTTTTTGCCCACTTATAGTTCTATTGTAAATTACTTCAGTACAAGTCGGGTTTGTAGGCAGTTATATCAACAAAAGGTTCTCTGAGGTACCATTTGACTATTTTTGTGTTTTTCTCTCCACACACATATCCAAAACGCTTGTGGTTGCTCTGGAAAAATTATTCAGTGATCATTTTGTGGGTGCTTTTGGCAAGTCACTCTTTCACTGTGCGCCCTCCCCCATCTTCAGTATGGGAACAGGGCTGTTGGACATATTGCTGAGACAATATGCATGCATGATGTTATTTGGTTAGAACAAAGTCTCTATATAAATTGTACATTTTGTTGGCATTTAACATTTCACCCCTGCCTCCATCAATATTTTCAGAATTTCAAAATTCAGGAAATCACTGGGTGAAGCTCTTCCCCTTCCAATAGTTTACCACTGATTAGACTAGGATATGAGTTCAAATTCCCACCCTGCCATGGAAGCTTGGGCCATTCTCTCATTCTCTCTCAGCTTAACCGCATTTACCGGGTGTTGTTGTGAGGGGAGAATGTGGTTGTAGCTGCTTTGTTATGATGAATAATCTTGTAATCCGCTTTCTCCCACTGGGGAAAAACGTGGTATAAATAGCCAGTGCGGTATCGTAGTCAGAGTGTCAGACCAGGATCTTGGAGACCCAGGTTCAAATCCCCACCCTACCATGGAAGCTCGTGACCTCTGGCCAGTCACACACTCTCAGCCTCACCTACCTCACAGGGTCAGACTAGGATCTGAGTTCAAATTCCCCCCCTGCCATGGAAGCTTGCTGGGCGACCTTGGGCCATTCTCTCTTTCTCTCTCAGCTTAACCTCAATTACAGGGTGTTGTTGTGAGGGGAGAATGTAATCCGCTTTCTCCCATTGGGGAAAAACGTGGTATAAATAGCCAGTGCGGTATCGTAGTCAGAGTGTCAGACCAGGATCTTGGAGACCCAGGTTCAAATCCCCACCCTACCATGGAAGCTCGTGACCTCTGGCCAGTCACACACTCTCAGGCTCACCTACCTCACAGGGTTGTTGTGAGGAAAAAAGGGAGGAGAGGAGAACAACATAAGCTCTTTGGAAGCCCACCTGGAGAAAGGTGGGATAGAAATGAAGTAAACAATGTTTATTTACAAATAGCCTAAAACTCAGGCACAAATTTGTTTAAAGCATTCCAGCAATGAGGTCACAGAAAGAAGTGTGTGTGTGTGTGTGTGTGTGTGTGTGTGTGTGTGTGTGTGTGTGTGAGGACTGCAGGTAATGCATGAATATTGTTGGGGGTGATGTGTGCCAATATCTGTCTGGTTTTGTGCAGAACATGACTTACAAATCAAGACGCTGCACACGTGTGCTTCACGCAGGAATGTTCTGTACAGTTCTGCCAGGTAGCCTTTGCATATAAGGAAATGCACTGTGTACAGTGTCCTTTTAAAAAGGCCAAACCGGGAGGGGGAGGAGAGAAAGAACAACACACTATTGTTCATGACAGGGATGCAAGTTCTCAATGATGGGGCATGGCCTTGGGGAAGCATAATCAAACCTGTTTCGCCTGGCATTGTGCTTTTACAGACTGCATCACTCCAGTTAACTGAGCAAAGATCACATGTGGTGTAGTAGTGTAAAGCATTTGGGATGAAATCCTGTGTGCACACTTATTTGAGGAGAAGCCTTAGCAAAGATCACATGTGGTGTAGTAGTGTAATGAAATCCTGTGCGCACACTTATTTGAGGAGAAGCCTTGCGGAACTCAGTGGGAACCACATCCATGTAAAAATGTTGGAGATCAGGCTGTTTTTATTATATAGGTATAAACCATTGATAAAGGATTGTTGTTTCGAAAGTCATTTTAAAGAGACAGATTCATATTTTAAAATTACTAATTGATATATTCTGCATTTCCAGTGATGTTCTGTATGTTTCACATAAACCAAAGTCTTGCTGAAATCAGCAGTACTAGTTTAGGGAAAGCAGAATGGGAGACTGTAACCTGCACAAGGAAACACTCACTTCTCTCCTGAGGGAATATATAAAAGAAAATGTCACTGTAATTATTTCTAGCCTCAGAGGAGATGGGAGGGTGGGGAAAGGAGGCTGTTTCAGATCCCCACTTGCAGAGTCAGAAATTCCAGTTTAGAAAAATAACCAAACCAAAACATTTCTTTACAAGACTCATCACATAGTTTCTTATTCTTCGATTTTATAAGAATTCCATCTCATTGCACCTGCACCATTCATTCCATGTTTTTAACATATTGGAGAGAATGCCAGTTTCCTACCAGGCTATTTATATTAGGTGTGCAGTGTAAAATTAAATATAATTACATGTTTCTCCTGAATGCAAGAAGATGCCCTTCGTGTCCCTTCCCTCAGGCCAAATCAGAATCTCAGTGATGCTACAAACCTTTTGTATATGAAAAACGGATACACTTAATATTGTTCTAGAATAACCTTTCTCGCTCTTCCACCAACTTTTGCATTTCAGGCTTTGAAGACTGTGCATTCGTTTACTTCCCAGTCACTGCTTCCCATTCAAGTTTTTTTTACTATATGAAATGTTTTTGAGACAATTAAACTAATCCTTAGGAAATACTTATGGGTTCTTATGTTTCCTCCCCTTCCATTTACCTTGTAATTTCTGGCTGTATTCGCTCCTGTCAGATTGGCTTCTCCTCAGAGTTCCAGAGCTGCTGTTGTCCCCAGAAACGTTCTTCTCGACAATGGTGTCTGTCTTCCTCCTCTCCAGCATGTACAGCTTCTGCTTTAAGAAGGTCAGGTTCTTTTTCTTTGGTCCTGCACTTTCTTTCCCCGTGGCATCTTTAGTTTCCATTTCCAGAAGAGAGGGAAAGGATCCTCTTTCACCCACCTCGCTTGAGGACAAGCCTTGTGCCGATTCCCTTGAGAGATGCTGTGTTGAGCCTGCTTGTTGCTTGGGTGAACGCAACAGCCTTCGTGCATTCATCAGCTGACTCTTTCAAAGACCTGCACAAGTTCCTCTTTACCTGGCTCACCTGACTGCCACCTTTGCAGCAGGTAGGACTCCACCCCTATGAAGTCATCCTTCAGTACACCAGCTAGGGAACAAGACACCTGTTACCTGAGAGACTTGTAGCCCAGGGCACAGCATAGCAGCGGAGGCTGATGAGCTCCCTTGCTAGGCCAGTTTCTGAGCATAAATGCATGCTTGTGTGTGTCTGTCTGTGTGTTTGTGGCATATCTGCTTTTGCATTCTTATGTGCAAGATCCCGCCTTTTTATCTATGCGAATAAAGACAGCAGAATTAGCATGCTTAAAGGAAACCACCCAAACCCACTTAACATCATCCCCCTTTTTTAGGGAAAGGAAGCTCTGCCAGTGCTTTTCACTTGATGGGTATGGAAGACTGGGCCTTTGTGATGCAGGGCAGTGCGGGGGCATCCTAGGTCTCACAAGGGCCGTTCTTTTGCAGGTTAGACTGGGCCTTTGTGATGCAGGGCAGTGCTGGGGCATCCTAGGTCTCAGACATGGAGCGAAGGGCCGTTCTTTTGCAGGTCAGCCCTTGGCTTCTTTGCTCCACCATTAAAGGCAAGAAGAGGATATGCAGAACGAAACCTTCTACTTAATCCTTTCAAAAGGATGGGGTGGCAGAAATGCAAAGCACAGCTAAGACAGGTGGGGTCAGGCAGCTGCTCCCTTCACCCTTCCATGCTTGAGGCTGCTTCATTTTTTTATTTCTTTGTTTCTTTACTTCATTTATACTCTGCCTTCCTCCCCAATGGGAACCCAAAGCAGCTCACATCGTTCTCCTCTACTCCATTTAAATCCTCACAAAAACCCTGTGAGGTAGGTCAGGCTGAGTGTGGCCCATTTTGCATCTATTATCTGCTCCATTGTTTTACCAAACCCACACTGGAGCAGAAAAAGATGTGGGTCGAAACTACATTCGAATACCCCGGGCCCAACGTCGTACTGACCGCAAAGTCACCCCTGAACGGCCATAAACTGGCCATAAATCTATGTATGCAGATTGTACCACAAAACCAAGAGATCAAACAAAGTGAAAGCCGCATGCAGTCTGGACACTGCCATAAAATCCGACAGTCAATCAAAGTGAAAGTGGCATGCAATGTAGGGGGGAATTTCTGTTCCAAGGAGGATTTGGTAAAACAGCGGAGTGAATGCTAGATGCCGAATGGGCCTGTGTGTGACCAGCCCAAGACTTTCCAAGCAGCCCCCAAACCCTGCTTGACACAGAGGTGGATTTGCTGCCCTGAATGCTATTTCATAGCGTTTATCACCAAGCAAGTGTGGATAGGATTGTGGACAGCCAGGTCTGACTGTTTAAAAATAAAAGACACATTCAGTTATTCCTATTCCCAGGGCTTTTTTTGTAGAAAAAGCCCAGCAGGGCCTAATTAGCATAATAGGCCACACCCAACAGCAGAAATTAATCAATATATTAGGCCACGCCCCTGATATCACAGCTCATTAGCATATTAGGCCACACCCCATGCCTTCCCTTGGCTTGCCTGGGTGCCCCGCGGCTGCAGGGAGTCTGGGGAAGCCCCCCCCCCCCCTGAAGGGGCAGGGAAGGAGGTTTAACAGCCCTTTCAGCTTGTCTGGGCACCCCACGGCTGCGCAGAGCCCGGGCAAGCCAGCCCTTGGACAGGCCAGGGAAGGCACGGGAAGGCATTTAAATGCCTCCCCAATCCTTCCAGGGCCCCCCTGGCTCGCCCACCTCGGAGTCGCTGGGGGGGTCGCTCTCCTGGCCTTCCCTCTGTAGCCACGCACGCAGAGGTTTTGGCTGTAGTGGGTGTGGCCAACTCTGAAGCCAGCCGGAACTCCGTTCCTGTGTGCTCCTGCCCCAAAATAGCCCTGCCGATTCCTCTGCAAAAATGCCTCACAGTATTGCTATGCAAATTCTAAGTACATTCTGAGTTCATGTTAAGCAGCAGCTTGCTGGCGTTGCTGTATTGTAACTCTGCACGCAGGAGGATCTGGGAGGGAAAAGGTTAAGAGCATTCTCTCCCTGGGGTACATTTGGCTGTTGGCCCCACCCGCCCCCTCACTGGCTAGATCTTGAGCCTTGTTGGCCCTTGCTTGCCTTCTGTTTCATTTTATATGGGACCTGTCTTCTTCTGTCTCTTTCATGGGCTTGGAGTTGTAGCAAGTTAACCTTACTGAAGTTAATCCGTTCACAATAAGTTTAAACGTACCTACATTTAGGGTTATCATATTTTGAAAAGCAAAAAAGAGGACATGTTTCCTGACTGACTACTTCAAACAAGTGTTCCCTCTAAGCTGAGAGTGTGAGCCAGCTCGCAGTTTTTTAGCCTCCGGCTCACACATTTTTGCCTTCGCTCAGGAAGGAGGGCTCCAGAGCAAACTAATTTATGCAGCAGCCAAATCGCTCACTCACAACTTTTAATGCCAGTAGCTCACAAGGTAGAATTTCTGCTCACAGGACTCCACAGCTTAGAGGGAGCATTGGTGATCACTATGACAAATCTCATTTAGAGTATCACAGGGCCATGATTATTCAGAGATCGTGGCTGAACAGACATTCTAGTAAGACACAG